CAGAGCCAAAATACCTACAACAGCAGAGCAAAAATACAGAAAGAACCTGGTTTTGATGATGCTATTAAGCTACCTGAAACCACCATATCTCAGGATTTTTTTATGGAAAATACTAAAATTGTCTTGCTCATACAATTTTGAGCTGGTTTTGTTAATATTTGTTGTTATTCTAACTAACATATTTTGCTTTTTCCCACTCATCTTGTTTCAAATAAAGAGGCAATGTATAATTAGAAATGGAGACCACCAGGACAGTAGCTCAGGATAGCAATTAGCTCTGGTGAATGCCAGAAACTGTCAAGCTAAGAAAACCTAAAATTCTGTAACCAAATTTAATCTGTTCATCCCTGCTATCCCAGATACGCTGCTTTAGAAGAGCCCAGTCCTCTAAGAATCTAGGATCAGACTTAGTCAATCAGTAGTTTCACTTGATTTTCTGCAAGTGACCAATTCTAACTACCTTGCTCTCAGAATCAGATGCCTTGCCTCCAATAGCCTGTCACTGAGTGTGTGATCAAAGGTCATGAAGTCCTGGATATGCTCTCGCCGGCATAATAATTCGACTGGGTCGACAAATAATTTGACTGAGCAAGCAAAGGGTTAAACATTAACATTACATGCTAGGGGAGGAAAAAGAAGTTGGTAATGGCCCTTTGACACTGGAATTTCCCTAGAGAACACCAGTAGTAACAATTTTGGCAATTTCCCTATTTATGCTTAAAATAAATCTAGAACTACCTCATAGAAAAAGTATTTGAATATTTTTAAACACTGTATTTTGCTCTATGATTCTCTTCCTCAAAAACATACTATAGTTTTTCAAATATTGTGGCAACTTATACCCAATTTGCCTCCTGTCTTCTGCTCTAAAAGGAGTCAGCAAACTTCTACAAAGGATCATAGAATAAACATTTTGGCTTTGTGAGCCCTATGGTCTCTGTTGCAACTACTCAAATCTGCCATTATACTGTGAAAGCAGCTACAGTTGATGTAAATAAATTGGCTGATTGTATTCCAATAAAACTTCATTTATTAACACATGAGTCTGCCCACAGATTTGGCCCATGAACCTATAGTTTGCTGACCCCTGGTATAAATCCTCATCTTATCAAACTCAAAAACTTACAACCCACGAGACTATATAGCTGAAAACAGCATATCGTCATTTTTGCTTCTCTAGTAAACAATACACTCTGATAAATTCTCTTACCAATTCAAATTTGATTCATTTGTCTTAGTTCACTGTAGCACTTCCCTAGAAGGTAACACTAGTACCTGGGCATCAGTTAAGCACTGTCACTGAACAACACAGGGACAGAATTAACCTTAAATAATCTATAGGCCATCACAAAAATGTCCTGAAAGACTTTTTTCAGTATCCTCCATTATGACTTGCTGAGTATAATTTTTAATCTCCTAATTCTTACGATTTTGATTTTCCAAAAACTCTGGGAAATAGAAGAATTCAGGAATAAGTTCCTTCACATCGTATGGATTGTCCATGAGAGCCTGCCAGGTGGCAGGGATGGAATGGAACTGTCGGTCTGCACAGTCAAACCTGCACGTGGAGATTGAAAAAGAACAGTGAATACTGAATGGGAACAAAAGGTAAAACAAACCTTTAAACTTCCTTCAGGTTTCCTAATGATTAGTTTCTCTTTATTTACTCTTTCTCTTTAAAGTCTAAAAACACAATTTGCTCTCCTTATGATAATCTTTTTATTTTGCTGTCAGAAACTAAATACTAAAATTTTAACCACTAGTATCATCTTAGTTAAAATAGATGAAAATGGCGTAATTTTTGCTGAGCGAAATTTATTATAGAAAGTGAATAAACATTATTTGGATATTTTTAAATTACTGAGTTTAAATATCACTATTATGGTATTAATATATGTAGTTAATAGATCTATGGGAATGTTGCTGCTTTAATCCTTCACACATAAATATGTTTACAAACTCTTCTGCTAAAAACCAGAGGGTGAGTTAGGGAAACAGTTCTGTGGCTAAGCGTTTATACTCTTCTTGCATATACTATTATCTTATTTTAACTGTATTTTCAAGTTCCATCGTGGGCCCATTGTGGTTGAAAGAAGCACAGTGATCATGCTGGAATTTTATTACGCTTTTGTTAATCACAAACAGTGTAAACTCCTTCTGTTTCATTTCCTTTAATATTGTTTTCCTGGATTTATTCTGTAAGTGATGACTTCCTAAGTGACAAATGATGACTACTATGACTCTTTTTATGCCTACCAATCTTGGTTTGAAGCAGAGCTGAACTTAGCAGAACTTTGAATTTAATGATAGTCAATGACTGGGTCATCACTAAAGTCTAATAATGGCATATTCAAATTCAAGGAGAGGTACAGCTTTAATGGCAGAATCTTTTTCTTTGGGTGAGGGAGAACAGCTTAATTATATATAATAAATATACATATGAGTCACCCTCTTTAAGCGAACAATTCAACGGTTTTCAGTAGATTCACAGCTGTGCAATCATCACCATCATCAATTTTAGACCATTTTCATCACTTCAAAAAGAAACCCTGTATCTAACAGCAGTCTTTCTCCATTCATCCCACCTCCACCCCTGGGCAACTACTAATCACTTTCTGTCTCTGTGGATCTGTCTATTTTGGACATTTCATGTAAATCATACAATATGTGTCATTTTGTGTCTGGCTTATTTTATTCAGCATACTGCTTTCAAGGTTCATCCATATTGTAGCATATATCAATCTTATTCCATTGCATGGATATACCACATGTTATTCATTCCTTTATCAGCTGATGGGCATTTGGGTTGTTTCCATATTTTGGCTATTATTAATAATGCTTTTATATGCACTTACCATATGTACTGTATGAACATATGTATTCAATACCTTGGGTAAAGCATATATCTAGGAGTGGAATTGCTGGGCCATATGGTTATTCTGTGTTTAACCTTTTAAAGAACTGCCAGGCTGTTTTCCACAGAGGCTGCATCATTTTACATTCCCACTGGCAGTACTTAAGTGTTCCAATTTCTCAATATACTCATTAACAGTGGATATTACCTGTCTTTTTGATTATAGCTATCCTTGTGGGTGTAAAGAGGTATCTCAATTTGGTTTTGATTTGAATTTCCCTGATGATTAACAATGTTGATCATCTTTTCGAGTGTTTATTAGACATTTGTAATCTTCTTTGGAGAAATGTCCATAAAGATCCTTTGTCCAGTTTTTATTTGGGTCACTAGTCTTTTTATTATTGTATTATAAAGTCTCTTTATATATTCTAGATACAAATCCCTTATCAGATTTATAATATGCAAATATTTTCTCCCAGTGAATGGGCTGTCTTTTTACTTTCTTGACAGTGTTCTTTGAAGCACAAAACCAAATCTATTTTTGAAGCTTTATTTAAAAAGTCATTTATTCATAAAATCATTAAAAGCTGAAAAGACCCAGTTATATTTTCCTGGAAGGAAAATTACATACCATCATGGCAAATGTAACATTTAGAGATGAGTAGTGATCTTTGGGACAAAGTCTTTTTTTGAAAGACAAGGCTTAGTACATTAAAGACAGGAACAAGGGACCAAGGTTAATTCTGAAAGATAAAGGTTACATGGAAAGAGAGTAGAATAGAAATGTTTAATAGTTATTGATTGTGTAGAAAGGCAAAATGATAATGTTAAAGAATAAGGCAACATGGAGACAGAATGCAAATAAGTAGAGAGCTACCAGGAGAATACACTGGGGAATGGAGGATTCATGGATAAGTTAGTTTCTTTAGGGTCATTAGGAAGATGTGAAACTCAGGTACTAACTGACAGGTGATATGATAATACAATGGTACACAGAACTCTTTCAGCTGCTACTAATAATGTAAGGGCCCTCTTTCTTCCCTGTTTTTATCCCTCTTGATTGATAAATATTTTTAGGAGGACTACATAGGCATTTGTTAGGTTCAAATCTCTGGTAGACGTCTTGGATCAAGGCCTAAATCAGTTCTAACTCTAAATCTCCAGTAGGTTCCTAAATCCAGTTAAAAAATCACAAAACTACACTAAATAACAGTAAAAAAGAATTCTCCTTAAAAGTCGTTTGTTGAAGTCAGTTTGAGCAACCCATTCTCAAACTAGTTTAGCTGCTTTTATCTAGGGTTTATTATATGAATCAAAACCTAATAGAGGAAAATAAAAAACATAAGGCCCTGTTATACAGTACATGACATGAAGGCAAAGAGTTTTCAACACTATCATATAGTCTTAAGAAAATAGCTTATTTACCCCAAAACATACCTTCCACTCTGAAGCTGGATGTGGAGGGTGGTGAATGGTTCTGTACGAATAAGATAGTGCATAACCCCAGCAGAATTTGAATAGTGAGTACCATAATGAAATTTATCAATAGTTCCCATAGGATCCTCAAAATTTTCATATCTAAAAAAAGAAATTACAGTTTTATAACCACAATAGTAAAATTAAGGACATATATTTGCATTGCATTGCTTAAAACACAGCTTTTAAGAAGACCTTAATATGTTTCATTATCTGTGTATTTATATCATCACACCATATTAAGAAATGAAAAAAAATTTTATTAACACTTTTTTCTGGACAATAAAATAACACTAATTCTGGATTCTGGAACAATTTTGTATCATGCAATAATACATCCTCACTATAGATAAATGAGAAATCTACAGAGAACCAAAAATAAAGAAATTTAAAATCAATTACAATTGCACTTCCCAAAGGTAATTAATATGAACATTTTGGCCAACACTTGTCAATTCTTAATGTATGAAATAATATACATTTTAGTATAAAATATATTTTAATATAAAAGCGCTAATTTATATTGTTGACAACTTATTTTTCATCTAACAATTTTCTATTAATATCTTTCAAAATGAAAGAATGAATAGCCTAGTTTTAACAGGTACATGTATGTATAACAAGTAGATGTACAGATATATGACAGTTTAACTACTTCTTACTTTTAGATATTTAGGTTGCTTCTACTTTTCTGCTATTATAAGCAATGTAATAATTAGACATCCTTTCGTGGCCAAGGTAATGGGAAAAAACTATGGAGAGTCAGTCAAGAATTGTGAAAATGAATGTCTAATAATCTAAAGGCAAAAGAAGGAGATGGTAGACAGGAAGAAGGTCTAAATCTGATTATTAGCAAAGGACATATGCTTGCATTGTGTTGCTTAAAACAGTTTTTCAGAAGCCCTTATTAATATGAATTATTATATATAGCAAAGGATATATATACTTCTGCAAGCAACATCATTGATATTGTAAATTGTTTTGTATGATGACATCTGAATTAGTGGGTATAAAATCTAAATAAGAATGACAGCTTTCTGGAAGCAATAAACATTGAATTTTTTTTAATTAGGTTTATTTGTTTATTTATTTATTTTTTAGGGGAGGTACTGGGGATTGAACCCAGCACCTCATGCATGTTAAGCATGTGCTCTACAGCTTGAGCTATACCCTTCCCCTGAAATTTTTAAACCAAAATACTAATTAGTTCATCAAACTGAGGTCAATTTCCTTTTACATAGAAATCATTAATATTCAGGAGAATAAAAAAAGTTTTCAAGTCAAAGTCATTTGTACTCCCCTCACACACAAATATATATATATATATATATATATATACTATTGAAATTTAAAACACCTAATCTTTATCAATAAAATAAGTCATTTATATGATACATATTTCCTGTGAAGCAGTGTTAATAGTTTGACTAATGGCAGTGAAGTAATATATATACAGCAAAATTCCATTAGTAAATCAAATATTAAACATGGTAAAAAAAAAAAACTGGGAAGAGTATGAAGGAAAGAAAATAATGTACCATCTACTCACAAATAAATCTACAATTAAGTTTGTTTGCAGAACAGGCCTTTGACTTTATTAATAGAAGTCATAACTGACAAATCACCCACAGTTCACATGAAAAAAGGGGAAATTAAAATTAGAGTATTCTTTTACCTGTCAGCAGCTTGCTTTGGATAAAAGAAAATTATGAGGTATTTACAGGGTAAATCATAAATATACAGAACTATAAATATTTCCTTTCCTTACTCAAATGTCATTATCTAAATTCCACATATTTCACTGTTCTTTATTCACCTTATACAATGTGAATAATCAATAGGTTAGTATTATTAATTTCATATCTACCAAAATATTATATTACATGGATATTTTTACATGTTAGATTACTAGGTTATTAAGTCTGAAACACTTGGGAAGAAAAACTTCAAGAATCTATTACCCTTTAGCACGCACTTATTGCGAGTTGAAAAGAAATTCTAAGCAATATAAGTTTAAATTTGGCAAAGAAGGGACATATACAGATTACAGTTAAGATATTTGAAGGACAACTGATACATTTCAAGAAAACTTACTGAAGGAATTTTCAGTCTCTGATTAACAACAGTAGTTATGCATTGTAAAAAAGTAACACTTGGTTGGCCATAGGAGAAATCAATACAAATTCAAACAAGCTATGGGTATTTTTCAAAAGAGATGAAAGGCACTTACTTTTCTCGCATGGCTTTGGCATTTTTATCATTAACCACCCCAATTGGTTTGGAAAGATCGCGAAATATAGATGGGTTATTAAGATCCAACTCTTCTGAAGTATAATCTTGTAAAATCCAGGGGAACTAAAAGAGTCACAATTTACAATTTAGAATTTCCTTCCCAGAGAAGCTATTATCCTCACATCTAATTTCAAATACTTATCTAAAGACAAAAAGGGATAGCCTTTAAAACTGTTTTTTCCCTGTTGCAAATGTCTATTCATCTTTAGTTCAATAACCAAAAGCATAATTTCCTGTAATTCCATTGGAATATTTTCAATGAAGTGAAAGCAAAAAGGTTTTTAATTTTTAAAATACTCTTCATGTTTATACTTCTTGAAAATAGCAAGTAGAAAATATACAGAAAGGCAAAAACAGATTTCATATCTTTTTAAAAATAAAAACTAGTTATCATGCACATATACTTTTGTGTATTATAACACTGTGAAAGACAACTCCATATTTATAAGATTCATATAAATCTCACCACAGGATACTGCGCAAGGTCATTATAGGTTCGTCCAGCCATTGTATTTAATTGAATGAGGTAGTCAAAATTTGACATCTCCCTGTTCACCCATTTCTAGGCAGCACAAAAAAAGAAAAAAATCAAAATTAACCTATATCTCTTAGAAATCAGTAACTACTACTGACAGCACTAACAGAATCTTTTGCTCCCGTTATTATCTCTATCATCTTCCTGATAAAAGGAAAGGTGCTTTAATAAAATTTAACAGGGAGATAAAAATCAATATATTTTTCCTAAATTCACTATCTTTTAAAAATTGGTCTCTAGAAAAGGAAAAGAATATTCAATGTAAATCAGACACTACAGTCTAAAAAGTCTTCATAAGAATTAAATCTTTTCAATTAAAAATATTTTACTTGATTTTATCCTTAAAAATTTAATACTAGAAGGAATGCCCAAATCTGAAACTTCTGTCTTAAGTTGAAATTTTCATTAAGCATACACATTAAAAAAAATCAATATCTTACTGTACTAAAATGATCTATAAATTTGAAATAAACATTATGTTAATTATGCTTAGAAAACTACCTTTATACATATAGCAATGGTAGATGGAATTTTGCTATAATAGATACAAAATTTTCTAAAGAAAGACATAGTCATTATTTTCTTTTAAACACCTTATTGTACCCAGCTGACAAATTGCTCTACACAGTATGAGTATGCTTGAGAATTTTGCTAACAGATTAACATTCACCTTTAAGTTCACTGTGTGCCTTAAGCAAAAGACATACTTATGGGAAATGGTGAGAAATGAATCTAGGTATGTAGATTTTATAGAAAGCCCAATTATAATTGTACTCGAGTGCCAAAGTGAGGAATCAGTACTTAGTGATTGAAGTTTACTCCACAGAAAGCAGGGAATGTACTTCATTAAATAACATTTACTCCATAAACAACAGAAAAGAATTGCTGATGGCTTTTGAACAAGGTAACAGTTAAGGTTAAGGTTAATGCGTTTGTAGGAGGAAAGAGAGCCAAGAGGCAGAGACTCTAACAAGGAGACTACTAACAACCTTGGAAAGCAAAACAGAATCGCCCTTTCTTGGATTTTGTCAGTACCAACTCAAGAGATGTTGGGATATATGTGAGGATAAAATACATGAAAGCATTAGTTAGCTTTGGCAGATGGAAGGATTGGCAAAGATTTTTTTTCTTTCTACCTTTGTTCCATGGTGTCTTTTGTAGTTTCCCATTTTTTCTTGTGTGTGGATTATATTTTTATTATTAAGGAAAAAAAAACTCACGTTATTTTTTTTTAAAGAACATTATTAACAATGAAGAACTCATTAGACATGCCCATGAACTGAATGATGTGGGAGCTGAAGGACAGAGTGTCTTATGTGTGAGGGAAACAGAAAGATTCAAAGATAATGCAAAAGATCAATTTGAATGGAAGAATAGCAGTTGTAAAATCAAAATAAAATAATCAGAAGAAGGGAGTTTTACTTTAAAGCAAAAGTCTGAGATACAAAATGAACACCAGAACAGTGACTGTTAAAATTTCCTACCTGTGTCAATCCTGATGTTTTGAATAACTCCTGTGGTGATCTGGTTCCATAACTATTTGGAGAATGAAGTGACAACAGTCTGCTATATACTTTGTTTCTAACCTATAAAAAAAAGAACATTTTGTGGCTTAAAAATTCATCAAGACAAACCAGGATTATGGCTTTATTAATAGATTAATCATGATATAATTCACATATCATAAAATTCACCCTTCTAAGTATACAATTTATTGGGCTTTTCTGTATATTCACAGTTGTGCAACCATGCACTTCATCTAATTTTGGAATGTTCTCATCATCCCCAAAAGAAACTATATACTTACTCACTTCCCAATTTCCACTCCCTCCCATCCTCTGACAACCACTATAGTACTTTGTCACTACAAATTTGGCTATTCTGAACATTTCACATAAACAGAGGATTGATTTTAATTTCTCTATTATACCAGGCTTAATAAAGTCACGACATGTATTTTTATTTTAGAACATTATAGTATCTAATGGAATAACCTTCAGACTTTGAATCAGAAAATTAACTCACTTCTAGTTCATATTTAGTTGTGCCATTTACTGATCATTGTGGCAAATCAATTAACTTACTGAGTCTCATTTGCATATTAAATATAATAATCTCTACTCTTATGAGTTTCATGAATTATTCAGGAATATGCAAATGCAAAGTAATAAAATTCATCTCTGAACTTGTTTCCTCATCTATAAGAAAAAAGTAATGGAATTTGTCATATCTAATCTGAAGATTGTTAAGACGATTAGATACTACATACAAATGTACTTTAAAAACTATACACAAACACACACTATTGAACAGGAGCATGTTTGGTTTAATTACATGACATAGCTTTCTAAAAAACCAATGCATTGTATTTTCCTACATGGGAAAATTTATGTTTAATAGTAAAAAGTTATCCTTTTGTAAAAATAGAAAAATGCCCTTTAACGGTTTGAATGGAATCATCTATAAATAAACCTGGATCCCACAAATGAACAGAAACTTGGTTATTGACTGTGCTAATCCAGGTCATCTGAGAAGCAGGTGCTAAGATAGAACTGAATATGCAGAATTTTATTAGGAAATAAATAGGAAAAAATCTAATAGGAAAAAATGGAGAGAAAGCTAGGCAAGGTGGAAAGAGCAATCAGACTGTGATACAAGACTGACCTCAAGTATATGACAGAGGCAAGGAGGCCTGGGGGAAAGAAATGGGCCAAAGGTTATATAGCTGGTGGTAGAACGGTCTTGGACCCAGGTAACCTGGCTTCAGTGGCAATCTCTTAAACCACTTACACTATTTAAGAATTTACCGTATTCCTAGAAAAATTATACGCTCCATTATCTTTTTTCCTAATTACACATGATCAATTATTGTCAAATTGAACTCAGTATAATTTCATAAATCCAGTTATATCACATATATACTGCATATTATTTCACACTTGGATACTGACACCTATTGGCTGACACTCAATATTCTACTGACTTATTTATTTACCTATACATAAAAACTGAAAACAAACATTGACCAAATACTCAAACATAAATCTCAACAAAAATTCATATACTGCTTAGCCCTAAAAGTATGTATTTCTTCCCTAATATTTTGACTTGATGAAAGAGTCGGGTCTGAGGTTTCATTAAAGCTCACTGTTTGGAAAATTATTTCAAGCTAATAGTGTGGGGTTTCCAGAAAGGTAGCATCTTACAAACCTCTTTTTTGAAATTGAGAAAGTAGTTGGATTGGTCAACATGAAAAATCTCAAGGGCTGACCTCCTTAAGTTGTACCGCCGTAGGTGAATCTCTCGAACCTGAGAATGTGGCCATTTGAAATCGAAGCCTACTCCTGAAAATAGAAAAAATCTTGACTAGGGTATCATATAAAGTTACTCATGCTACGAGGAAAATATCTCCTACTTCCTGACAAAAGTAGCACTTAGGGAAAAGGAACTCAATTTCTGTATGATAAAAACTATTTGTTAAATTTATTGGATGTTTACATTGTTTCTTTCAAACCTATTTAAAAATTCTATAGCTTTTCTACTTCCTTCCCATTAGAATAGAGCATAACTCTGAATGTTATATCTTAAAAAACATTTTTCCTTTTCTCTTCATGTTGGCAGCATAGATTCAAATCCTTTTATTTTCACATAAAGGATTAGGTGAGCAGCCTATAGGAATAAGTGTACATACAAATAAAACTAAGATTGCATTTTATAACTTCAATTTATAACAATCCCCCTAGCCAAACCTTTTTAAGAACACTGATAATAAAAAAGCATTCTTTTCAGTATACTGCTGAATAATAAATTTAATCCCATACTGACTTTTCATTTCTCCGTTTACATGATAGACTACAATTCCAGTCTCACCTTATTACTTTCTTCTCATCAATGATTGATAAACTGGATACTTAACTATTGAACAACAGAAATTATTCCCCCAGACCTCCTCACCATCTTCTTTTTCAATGCTGCCATCATAGAAGTAAATGTGTTGAGTAGTGATTTCTAATCTGCCAGGAATTATGTCAATTATTGTAATGAGTTCACAGTCTTCCGACAACACCAATTTTTCTTTTTGATCCTGTTCTTCTTTCTCATCACTGTACAAACAAATATCAACCAAACAAAAAACATCCAACAGTGAACTCTGTGTAAACAGAAAAGAGCGTCATATCCAAATATGCATCTCATGTCTATAAAAATCACTGTTCAAGAAAGAGCACTTGAATTTTATATTAAAAAAATTTCACTGCATATTAAATTACTTAAATATTATCCGAATATACTTATTACCCAATAACTAAGTTTAAAAAACGTCTTTTACATTTTAATTGTATATGATTCACCAAACCAAAGTATAGTGAATCTTTAATACTACTGGCAGAGGACAGTTCAAATATGCAGCAATACTGGTCATGTTTTTCGGTTATATATGGGAGACATGAACTGACCCACGGAATACATGAATCTGTGTATAAAGGACTGCATCATTAGTGGTGTTTCATAAGTAATTAGTAGAAGTACTAATCATGATTGTTTCTTAAACTGTAAAATGAGACTTTTTGAGAACAACAAAAATTCGAGGATCATCGTAACACCCCCTTGACAGTAGAAATGGAGATAATACAATGAGCTACTATTTCCACACCATACTTAAAATGAACTCATCTTGTATTTGGAGGACTGTTACCTCTTATGCTTACTGTAGGGAATAACTGGTGACAGCCTTCTGGTGGCCAAAGTGACTTTTAACTGCCAGGTATAGAAGTGAGAACGCCTATTGCTCATGGAATATTACTCAAGTAAACCCTTCAAGCCAGCTGCTCTTTAGTCCTAGATATTTCACATCTGCCTCATTTCTAGGATAGCAATGACTAAATCTAATTTTGTTTCCAACGGATTTCCATGGGGAAGCTCTACAAGTATAACCATTCTAACTGGTAATATTGCAACCCTTAACTTAAGCTTAAAAAAACTAAGAATATTTTCCTAAACAGTGGAATTCCAATATTTACAGTGATGGACTAGAGAAATAAGTGACCCAAGAGAGTAAGTTATTTATATTCTATGAAAGAAAGAGTTTGGGCTTTTCATTTTCACTTTATTTGATTTAAATTTTTTTTAAATTGAAGTATGGTCAGTTTACAATGTGCTAATTTCTGGTGGACAGCATAGTGATTCAGTTTTTATATATATATATTATACACACACACACACACACACATACAGTTAATATAATATGAAAAGGAGACAGATTAAAAGGGTCCAAACATATTTGAAAAAATAACGCTGGCAACTTCTCAAATATGAAAAAAATTAACTTAGACATCCAGGAAGCTCAATGAATTCCAAGTAGGATAAATACAAAAAATATACATGGACAAAAAGCCAAGGTGGTGAAAGCAAAAGACAAATAGAATAGACCAAACTATCACAAATAGGACATCATAAAAAATTTAATAACACATTTCTCATGAGAAACAATGGAAACCAGAAAGTAGTGGAATGATATTCACATTCAATGTTCAAAATGTTGAAAGGACAAAAACTGCCAAATAAGAATTCTATATACAGCAAAACTATCCTTCAAAAGAGAAAGGAATGGTGCTGCAACAACCAGAATCATATGTAAAACAATTAATATGGACCCTTATATCACCCTGTATTAAAAACTTAACACAGAATGGATCAAAGACCTAATATAAGAGATAAAATCTTAAACTCTTAGAAAAAAATAAACAGAACTTCATCAAAATTTAAAACTTTTGTGCATCAAAGGATACCAACAACAAATTGAAAAAACCATTCAATGGAAGAAAATCTTTGCAAATTTTGTATCTAATAAAGAATTTGTTCCTAAAATATGTAAAGAACCTCTATAACTCAATAACCAAAAGACAACCCAATTAAAATGGACAAAGGATTTGAATAGAGATTTCTCAAAAAAAGGACACATAAATGGCCAACAAATATATGAAAAGCTGCTCAGAATCATTAATTAGGGAAATGCAAATTAAAATCACATGATAGCACCTCATATCTTCTAGGATGATATAATAAATTAAAAAATAGAATAACAAAAGTTGGGGTAGATTTGAAGTTATTAAAACTGTCATACATTGCTTGGGGGAATGTAAAATGGTGTAGTCATTGTGAAAACAGTTTCATAATTCTTCAAAATGTTAAACATAGAATTACCATATGATCAGAAAATTAACTCCTAGTTTTATACCCAAGATAACTGAAAACATATGTTGACACAAAAATTTATGGTATTATTCATAATAGCCCAAAAAAAAAAGGAAACAATGTAAATTCTATCAACTGATGAAGGGATAAACAAAAGTGGTATACCCATATAATGGAATATTATTCGGCCAATAAAAAAGAATGAAGTACTATTACATGCTACTACATGGATGAACCCTGGAAACATTACACTGAATGAAAACAAAAAAAGCTAAATATAAAAGGAAACCTAGTGTATGAAATACATGAAAAGTTGAAAATGTTAAATCCATAGAAAAAGAAAGTCAATTAGTGATTGCCAGAGGATATGGGGTGGGGAAATTGGGACTGACCACCAAAAGGTACAAGATTTCCTTTTATGTTATATAAATCTCAATTTCAAAAAATATATCTCAGTTTTTTTAAAAGTAGGCAAAAATGAAAGCAAAATAAAGATCTCCACAGATAACAAAAGATAGAGAAAATTTGTGGCTTAAAGACTTTCCTTACAAGAAATACTAAGGGAAGTTTTTCAGGTAGAAAGGAAATGGCATCAGATGGTAATCTGAAAGTATGTCAAGAAATAAGGTGTATAAGTATGGTAATTATGTAGGCAAATACAAAGAGAAGCATAACTATATAGTTTTCCTTTTTTCACTTAACTGATTAAAAGACAAGTACATAAAACAGTAACAATATTAAACTGTATTGTTGAGTTTAAAACCAATAAAAGTTTAATATTTATAGTAATAATAACACAAAGGAGAGATAAGAAAGTGAATATATTTTTACTCAGCCATAAGAATTAAATAATACCATTGGAGGCAACATGGATGGACCTAGAGATTATCATACTAAGTGAAGTAAGTCAGACAAAGACAAATATTATATATCACTTATATGTGGAATCTAAAAAAATGATACAAATGAACTTATTTACAAAACAGAAACAGACTCACAAACATAGAAAACAAGTTACCAAAGGAGAAGGTGTGGGGAGAGGGGTAAGTTAGGAGTTTGTGATTAGCAGATACATAATACTATATATAAAATAAATAAACAAGGACCTACTGTATAGTACAGGGAATTATATTCAATATCTTGTAATAAACTACAATGGAAGAGGATATGAAAAGAAGTATATATGTATAACTGAATCACCACCATGCTGTATACCAGAAACTACATAACACTGTAAATTAACTATATTTCAATAAAAAGTAAACAAAAAATAATTCAGAATTTTAAAATATATCTAAAGTTATTCAGTTTATATATTATTTCCTGTGAGAGGTTTGGTAATTTTTATTTTTTTCAAGGAATTTGTCCATTTCATTAAAGTTGTCAAATTTACTGGCATAAAGTTGTCATTTCTTTTTTTTTTCTTCTTTTTGGGTGGGAGGAGGTAGTTAGGTTTATTTATTATTAGGTTTTTCTTTTTTTTTAATGGAGGTACTGGGGCTTAAACCCAGGACCTCGTGCATGCTAAGTATGCACTCTGCCACTGAACTATAAGCTATACTCTCCCCATCAAGTTGTCATTTCTTTTCAATATATTTCTTGTTAATCATTTTAATGTTCGTAGTGTTATCTTCTCTTTCATTTCTGGTACTGGTAATTTATGTTGTCTTTCTTTCCTAAGCAGTTTGGCTAGAGGTTTATTGTTTGGTTATCTGATTTTTGAAAAGCTAGCTTTTGTTTCCTTTGATCTTTCTGTTTTTTAACTTTCTCTTTCACGGATTTCTGCTTTTATTTTCCTAATTTCTTCCTATTACTAAAGAGTTTATATTTCATGCTGTACTTTCCAACTAAACACGTCAAAACACTGGCTGTGTCCCGTAAGTTTGATATATTATGTTTTCACTGTCATTCAACTCAAAATACTTTCTAATTTCAAGGTCTAGCTCCAAATTAACCGAGTTCTAAGAAGCCTTCTTCAATAGTTTGTTAACACTAATAGACTCAACACCTGGTAGACAGAGTATTAACTGCTGGTCCCTGGAAATATATGTATTAGAATTTCAAGATAATGTTTTCCACAATTTTACAATCCCATTTCTCAGAATAAAATAATTTGAAATTCTTTCAAGTACTTATACATACATATTTACTCTGCCTGTTATTTCCTCTTCAGGAAGATCTAATTTATCTTCCTCCAGATCACTAACTTTTACTTGTTTCACTACTTCCAAAAGCAATGAATCACTGGAAGGCTGTGAGTGCTGGATGCCTGTTTAAACACAAAATGTTTGTTAAACACAAAGTAAAAAAAACCATTATCATAGTCCTGTAATTTCTGATTGTCAATTATATGATAATAGTATGTATTACAAATAAAGAAGGTACTTGAAATTTTCTAAGATATAAAAGCAATTTACTACAGAAAAGTTTTTATACATGATTTAGAGTAATCTATGCTGTTTCACTGTGACTTTTTACACATAATAAAAGGAATTGTCTTAAAAATATGGTATCTATTTTTAATGATGGTATTAGTTACGTTTCAGAAATAGGCCAAGTAATCTCTTTAATCACATTTACTGCTAAAGGATACCAATAACTAATTGAAAGAGAATTATTTTCAGTACATTAATTCAACAGAATTATTTTTACTGTGCATTTGTACTTAAGAAATATTTAGAAAGAGTGTGACAAATTATCTTTAACTGCAAGATAATACAGAGACCAAGGGCCAAAGTGTTCCTTTCTGGAGTACAGGGAATTTAACAGATAATTCCGATATATATATATTCATCAAATGTAATGAATGATGCATTATATAAAAAGGTAGGGCTAGCAAAGTGGAAAGAACATGGGTTGTGAATTGGTAAAACTAGATTCAAATTCTGTTCTACCATTTACTAACCGTATGACCCCTCTGAATTTATGCTTTTTAACTCTGAAATGGAGATACATCACAACACACATAAAATAAATGATAGGTATTATTATTGTACATTCATCTCTCAATTATCTGAGTGGCAAAAGAACTGTAATAAAAATATATGTATAATTAATAGGCAGGACTGGAAAAATTTATATATTTAACTATGAATAAAGATATTTCATTTGTGGAAAATCAAAATAATTCATGCTAAACAACAAAACACTATACAGATAACAAAACCTCCCTTAGTTTCTCAAATGGTATCATTGCTCTGACATGTAAAATGAAGTAACCAATGTACAGCTGCATTCTTCTTTATAAATCTGCTTCCATCACATCGTCCCCTATACTAGGAATTACTGGCTCATACTTTCCCTAGAACAAGTAACTATTTCTACTGAACATATTTTCCCCTATGGTCTAATGTAAGCAAAAATTTATTGTGAAACATTTAGTTTAACAAAGTACATGATTATGCAATAAACCTGAAAAGCAGGAACTCAATAATCTGATACAAACTGAAAACTGACTTCATGTACATGGATGAAACAGTACTCTTAAGAGTGTAAACTAAAACTCTGGTGAATATACTGAGGATGGGAAGGACTGCAGGCAAGGAAGCCCATTGGGAAAACTATTCCAAGTTTGGGAGAAGACAGACTCTAGCTAAACCTAAACCATGGCAATAGCAAATGGAATAAAAATAAGGAAAAACCTAAAATACAGGTAAGAGACAGTATTAAAAGGACATTGTAAAAAAAAAAAAGGATATTGTACCTAAAGAACAATTATGTGTAGGAGATTAAGAGGGATAAGATAAGGATGGGCTTACAGTTAATAATAATTATTTAAATTTGAGTAACTAATGAGTGGAGGCAATGATAACTATAACATAAGGCACAGGAGAAGCCACATTTAGGATGAGGAGCAGACACATGAGAAAAGATAATGGATTCAATTTCAGAAATGTTACATGGAAGAGGTATCCCAACAGGCAGTGGAAACCTTGGTCTCAAGTTCAAAAGTCAGGCAAAAATTAGAAATACAGGTGGGAAAGCATCATTATATACATAATTAAATATATACTTTGTTGTTATTTTTGTGGGGGTGGGTAATTACATATGTTTATTTATTTATTTAATGGAGCTACTAGGTATTGAACCCAGGAAAAATATATATTTTATATACCACGATGAAGCCAAGATACCACCACTTCATAGAGAGCATAGGTAAAAAGTAAGATGGCTAGGCAAAGATCTGGGAACACTGTCATTTAAAACGTGAATGGAATAGAAAAAAGGTTCCATGAAAAAGACTAAAAATTGGTATGAAAAGGAGGGTAAGCAACAGTGCTAAGAAAAAAACACACTTATGGAGGAGGATAACTACCAATGCTTCACAGACAACAGAAGCAGTCTAAGGACTAAAAATAAGTCGCTGCACTCAACATCAAACAACCCAATTAAAAAATGGGCAGAAAAACTGAATACACATTTTTCCAAAGAGGAAATGCAGATGGCCAACAGGCACGTGAAAAGATGCTCAATACTGATAATAATCAAGGAAATGTAAATCAAAACCACGATGAGGTATCACCTTACACCTGTCAGAATGGCTTTCATCAAAAAGAAACTAAGTAACAAATGTTGATGAGGATGTGAAGAAGAGGGAATCCTCATACACTGTTGGTGGGAATGTAAATTGGTGCAACCACTGTGGGAAACAGTATGGAGGTTTCTCAAAAAAGTAAAAACAGAACTACCCATATGACCCAGCAATTCCACTCCTGGCTATACCTCTGAAAAAAATTAAAGCACTAATTCAAAAAGATACATGCACCCCAATGTTCAAAGGAGCCTTAAGTACATACAATTGCCAAGATATGGAAGCAACCTAAGTGTCCATCAACAGACGAATGGATAAAGAAGATACAGTGTGTATATATATGTATATATATATATATACATATATATACACACATACATACACACACACATATATGTATATACACACACACACATAATAGAATATTACTTATTCATAAAAAGAAAAAAGGTTCCAGGAAAAAGACTAAAAATTGGTATGAAAAGAAGGAGGGTAAGCAACATTCATAAAAAAGAATGAAATTTTGCCATTTGTAACAATATTCATGGATTTGGAGGGAACTATATTAAGTGAAATGTCAGACAGAGAAAGATAAATACTGATACCACTTACACGTAGAATCTAAAAAACACAACAAATTAGTAAATAAAACAAAAAAGCAGACTCACAGATAAAGAGAACAAACTAGTGGTTACTATCAGGGAGAGGAAAGGACGGGCAATATTATAATATAATAATATATACTATTAGGTATAAATTAAGCTACAAGGATGTATTGTTTAGCACTGGGAATATAGTTAATATTTTATAACTATAAATGGAGTATAACCTTTAAAAATTATGAATCATTATGTTGTACACCTATAACATATAATATTGTATAGCAACTGTACTTCAATAAAAATAAAATTTTTAAATTAAAATAAGTTGGTGCATTTGGCAATCAGAAGAATATTTCTAGTGAAGAAGTGTGGACAAAAAAACTTTCTAAAACCAAGTATTTTTAATGATACACTTAAGAATATACTTTTTGGCCATTTAAATTCCATTATTTATAGGTGGGTGTGTTCCAAAAGATACTTCACAAATCACTTGTTTGGAATTCACAATGAATTTTCCATCAAAAATGTTAGGAATAATGGCCAACTTTGTAGTTTAGCTACTGTACATTTGCAATGGGAGGCAAAGCAGTACTGGGTTAAGTGAAACAAAACAAAATAAGAAAAAAAAACCCACCACGAATTCTGGAAGCTGATGAAAATACTTATAGACAAACATATGGAGTAGGCAAAACATTTTGCAGTTAATTCTGAAGTAAACTTCAGGGAACTTTAAAGAGTTTGAAAGATTGGTGCCACTGGTTTTATACTATTTCTAATTTCATTTTGAAATACATGATTTTTTT